AGTGATAGGATACATTTAAGATAGGATACGTTTCTGTGCTCATTTTATATTAACATTTATTAGTGTGATATTTACAGAACTCTGAATTAGACATTTTGATAACGGAATGGTTTTTAAATGTAATAATTTGTTATTTAACGCCGAGTCCAAAGTATGAAACAATATTTTCAAAGCGTAGTCCCACAAAAATAGCCTTTTTCTATTTGTTTTATCAACCTTGAAGATTGCTTGTTTAAATTATACGAAATCCTGTTATTTATTCAACTAAAAATTAAAAAGTATTGACGAGAGATAAGGATTTTGTAATTTATAAATTAGTGATATTCATTAACAAGCTCTGTTGACTTTGTGGAGTTAACCGTCTTTCAGTCATTTTTTCTCTGTTTCATAGTAGCGGGTCTGCCTTCTAATTGTATTCAAGTCTCAATAAACCAAGACATGAGCCGAATTATTTTTACTGCAGAAGAAAACCATTTTTATTTGAAGCTAGCTAAGCCTTCTCAGTTGAAACTATTGCTAAATAAAATTTATTTTTACCAATTTGTACAAAATTATTCCTTTAGGTTAATGCTTTATCATAGGAGTTTCTGAAATCTTTTAGCTGGTTTATTCTGTATATAACGAAATGAAAATTTTATCTATATTCGTGTTATCTTAAGCATTTGTTCGCAGTACCCAATAGAATTCTTGATAGATATATAAATGATATCCATGAGAATTTGCAATTGCTGTTTAAAAGAGACCGTCATTCAGCACGTCTTCTTGTCACGCATTTGCCAACTGTTCTAACCTGATTCGACGTGTTTCTTGCATCGTTATCGATCATACAGTTGAATTCGGGTGGGGTTGTCGTCATCTTAAGACATGGACCTTATAAGAAATAGACTAACCCAAATGGGTTTTCTCCCTTGTCTGACGCGTTCCCGGCTATTACCTTGATCACATCCGGAGGAGTAGGGACGGCTTGCAGAAATTTAACAGTGGTTGTTTGCCTATTTCAGCGTGTATAATTGTCAAGAAAAGCTGGGTTGTAGCACCTCATTTTCACAAATTAGAATTTCTAACATATTTTTATTTTTGAAACTGAGATTGATTTTTAACAATTTAGCATATTTATCAAGCATAATTAGCGTTCCAAATAATTATTATAATTATTACAGATATTTTTTTAGCTTTTCCTATGCTGTAAGGAAATTTGTAACTACTTCTTTTAGAAAATAATATTTTAAATCTGAACTAATAGAAAATTTCGAACAAGCAGTTTTCTCTAGCAACTTTTATGCTTTTTATTAGTGTAAATAAGTAAAAAATACTAAAATATTTAAAAACGAATTTTTTTGTTTAAAATTCTCAATTGTGCTGCTTTTTTAAAATTATAGATGAATATTATAGCACAATTTCTATAAAGGAATTTTATTTCAATTATATTTGATAATACATCATAGTGATAAACACATTTGACAGCTTAATTTTTATACATTTAATTCTAATAATAAAATTGTATTTGATCGTAATAATTCATTTTGCTTGTATTTTATAGTGATTATTTTTTAAATTTATTTTTAGTTCTGCATAAGATTTCTTTTATTTACTGTTAATTTAATTTATTAGCTCGAAGCGGCATTTTGCGCTGTTTCACTATAAATGTCCGTGTCTCCTTGCAAATTGTTGTTACCAAATATTATCGCCCTGTACTATATTTAAAGAAATTAAATAATGAAGAATCTGCATGAATACATGTATGTTTCTCGCGCTGTGACAAAAACGTCGGTATCTAGAACCATCAAATTTTGAATAATGTAATCCTCCACCCGAACATGGGCATCTGGACGGCTGAATTTCGAATTTGTTTTAATCTATTTCATATTTTGTAAAACTTTAAAACGAATTTTTGATTAACAAACTCAACGAGTTCAAAGCGAGCAATTGTTCAAAGCGAAAAATAACATTTTTATCTCCAGTGCGAAAATTCTAAAGATATGTGTTTTCAAATGTATGTGGTTTACGGGCGAAGAACATGATATTCAATAAATATAGGTAATACACAAAAAGTTAAAAAAAGGTTCCTTTTGGGCGTAATATAAAATTGAGAGCTTCTAGATTTTATTTTATCTTTTTTTTTTTTTTCCTTCATTAAACTCAGAAAATTTTATGCTCCCAATTACTAAAATAAATAATCCATTTTAATGTTAATAATTTAATGATGATATAATTAAATAAATGACGGTTTTGTAATGTTATTATAGTTTTGAAAATCATTGCCTGAAAATGTTCATTAAATTAAAAAAAGAAAAAAAAAATCAGATCTTGTTTAATTTTACCTTATTTTTTTGAAAGCGTACTATCAATCTTATTTAATTTTACTTTATTTTTACGAAAAATTAAGTTCATAAATTTTTGTGCTTAGTTTTTTACCGTTTTACCAAAGTAAGTAAAGATGTTTTGTACAAGAATTACGCGTGAAAAAAAAAAATGGCGCGAAATGTGTAGTAAAAAAACTGCTTTAATTAATGAGATATATTAAATCATATTTGAAAAAAACTGTGACTTTCATAATCTCATCACTATACAACGTATCACATTTAATAATTAAAAACAGTTATGTGATACAAACGCCATAGGTTTCAGTGTTAAAGTAAACCAGACCGTCCCTACTCTTTCTTGTGGAAATGTTGGTGACGAGCGCCCCGCCCACTGGGTTAGTCTATCTCTTCCACGTCTTAAGATTGGTGACGTCACACAGCATCACAGTCACGCTATTCTATATCGACGTCATCCAAGCAAATCCACCGCGTAGTCTCCTCAGACAGGAATCTGCAAAAAGCATCTAGATGAAGGTCAGACCATTCATTCATAATCTTAAGGAACTCTCATTGGGATAAGATTACATCCTTGGGGGGGGGATGAAAGAGAAATCACATCATATTTGTAAATTTGTAAATATCTGAAACAGAGTGGGTGTTATCTAATCGAACTTATGCAATTTACTTTCGAGAGAGTTAATAACAAATTGTGATCGAAAGATGCTTATCCTTGAAGATATTCTAAATGGTACATTAAGTAATATGTTTGACTGCTTTTATCTATTAAATAATTTGAAAATTCTTTGCGAGGATATAGCAAACTGTTGTATGTATTATTAATTTTAAGTTTTTAATATATCACAAAGGAAGATCAGGCTTATATAGCCTTTAAAATATGTGATGCCTAATATTTAACAGCCGATACCAAATGGATCCGAGGATTCGTCTCCCCCAATAAAGTTTTCCTGAAAACCAGCTGAACTTATGAGAGAGATATGAAGACAGTTTATTGCTTATTGCATTACATTTATGTTAAAAAGCAGCATGTATGCTTAATTTCATTCGTAAGTTGACATTTAGATCTGCTTAATACTTTTTAAATATCAAGGTAATAAAATCCATTTTTTACCTTGTGAAACATCTATCAAAAATGAAGAGTTGTCATACATTCAAAACTTCACCTTTGAAAGTGCCATGTAGGTGTATTTAATTATGGCAAAGCACTTTAGGGCTATCTGCTTAAGGGGAGGAATGCCTTCGTGGAGGACTTTCTAAGGGAAACTGGCTCGTATACGCGTTACACATGGGGGAAAACCACGAAAAAAACCCATGTGCAGCCGGGCCCGTTCGCGGGATTCGAACGGACCGACTCCGGTTCCGTGTTTGGCGATTACCCGTCGGCCGCTGGCCTTGAAAGTGCCATGCAACAGGTATCAGCGTTTTGTCTCTCGCTGTTCTGAATCACTTCTAACATTTCCTCGCCATATAGACCTAACATCGAAATGCCCAATAATAATTTCAGTCTCTGGGATGAATTAAAAGGTGAATGATGATTTTTTAATTATAAAAACTAATTGAAACTAATCTTCTTTGGAACTTCTAAAAGCTTTTGTTTATTATTGAGATTTCTGTGATCCACATTGTCACTTGGAATTTCGAATCATATTTGAAATGATTATCTCCATAAAATCGTTGAAATCAACGAATACAAGTTTCCTTCATTTGAGGGTTTTTTTTTTTTTTTAAATCATTAGATTTCGGTAGTTCTATGAATAGTATTTTTTTCACCCTTATCTTCTGTTAGTTTGTGAAGGAGAAACCTCATATAGATCTTTCAGTAAATTATAGGTCAGAATGAATTGGAAGACTAGGTATGCCAGATTCTTCAACAGGCATTCTGCTTGCTCTGGATTGATAACACTGATTCGGAGTTCTGGTAGGTCTTTGTCATCAATCCTGTTTTAAAATGTCTGGAAAAGTTTTATCAGCTTTAAAACAAAATATATTCTGATTGCATTCAAAACTTGGACTGCCTTTGAATTGTTATCTCTCCTGTTTTAAAATGTCTATACTATACAAAAACTTCTGTACGCAACAAATAATCATTGCTGTGAGCATGTTGCATCAATGCAGTTATTTCTGCTAACGTTTTATCAACTATGAAACGAAACTTAATGTATTCTAGCGGCATTCAAAACTTAAATAAAGTCAAACTTATTGTGTTGATTATATTCAAAAGTTAATGTGTTTATACTTCAGATTTTTATAATTACTAATTTCACTAATAATTAACTTATAATTTCAGATAGAAATCTTAAGTTGGGTTTCTATTTTAGACAGTTCTTGCACGATCGATTTCAGTTTTGCCCCCACCCCCAAGGATTTTTTTTTTTCAACTATTTATTTATAAATTTTAATTCTAATTTTGGTGCTTTTGCTCCTAAAATAGATTTATTTATATTAAATATTCATAATTTAAATGTTCTCAGAATTATTAATATAGAAGTATTTTGTGTTGTGACTTAGACCTCAAGCAAAGTAAATATGTTTGAAGATAAAAATAGAAATAGAAGTAGAGCTGTCGGTTTGTAACTTATGCTTAGCTTTTAAAATTAATATTGGAATTATGATCTTAGAAAGTTTTATAATTAAAATTTATGTATGAAGTGTTTTGAAACGTTATCTTCTTCTTTACAGGCCAAACAACTACAGATATTCTCTCTATTGCTGTGAAAGCACGGTCTCGGACGCTTGGGCCCTTGAATCCTAGATTTGATCTGAATTCTCTAGTAAAAGAAAATCTAGAGAAAGCTTTGCCTTTGAATGCCCATGAACTTTGCAATAATCGTCTGTTTATTTCTGTTACCAGATCGTCCGACAAACAGAACGTTTTACTGTCACAGTACGACTCCAGAGAGGAACTTATTCAGGTAACTTTCTTTAACTTCTTTAGTGCGTTGAAAATTTTTTCTCGTACTGTCATTTAGCGTAGCATTAAATTATTATTATCAAACATAAATCTTCCCGGTGTATTTACATAATTACTTAGTTAGCAGTTACTTAACCCCTTAACTGCCGCGGGCGTATATATACGCCTTGCTCAGCCGATGCGTTAACTGCCCCAGATGCGCCCAGATGCACAGCCGATGCGTTAACTTTGCGAATAATTTTAGGTGTAGCAGCGCAAAGCAAATGATAGCAGTTTGGAAGGACGTTATATATACGCCTGGGGCAGTTAACGCATCGGTGAGCAAGGGATATAGGCGTTAAGGGGTTAATAGCAGTTACATGGCATCCGAGCTGCAGTTATATCTATAGTTATAACTATTGCAAACATTTGATCTTATCAAACAACTTGCTTTGATAATTAAATTGCTCAACTTGCTTTGATAATTTTCATTCCTCCCGTTCTTTATAGGGGCCTATTCTTCAGATTTTAAATGCACGTAATTTCTGTTGCTCTAAAAGTTTCAGAGGGTTTTTTTTTTTTTTTTTTTTTAAATATAATAATAAGGGGAATTTATGTAAAATTTAGCAGAACTCTACTCCTGAAAAATGTTAAGTCGTTGAGACAGATTATTAATTATGATGCTGCAGCTCATAATTATTAATTATAATGTACTAGAACTCAGTACTATAAGAGGAGTGAAGAATTTATAATTATGTCTCATCATGTAAAATGAAACAGAAAATTAAAAATGTTTATTTTGGGTAAATAGTATTGAAGAATTAAATTTGTGTTGTAGGATTCCAGTATTTCTCCCAAGTCTCGAGAATGATCGAAGTTTGCTGTATTAAATGTCTCACCAGCAATCATATGGAAAAACGATTGAGGCCATTATTTGCGTGATTGATGATAGTGTTGATTAAATTAGGCAATACATTTCAGCAAGGTGCACAAGAAACATATCTGCCATCTTATAATTTAAAGAAAACTGCTTCATGTATCGTTATATCGAATTTTGTATCGTATATCGAATTTTGTATATATGTGATCAACTTTAATGAAATTATATGTGAAATTGCATTATCTTTTGTATAATGAAACACAAATTGCTTGAGAGAGCGAAACTCTGCCGGAAAAATACGAGAGCATGTCTATTTAACATTGAGGTAAATGGCTATCTTGCTAAATTTGCCATGGTTTTGGCAATTAATTTTTGTTGCCGAATCTGGCGAGAAATTGTTGAAAGTCGCCAAATTTGGCTGCCATTTTACGACATTTCGGTCCATTCCCTGTATAACCAACCCTAATCGGTACTGTAATTGAGTAAAGAGTAACCCTATACCAGGGATCGGCAAACTACGGTCCGCGGATAAAATTTTAATTTGCCGGTTCGAGGCAAATTAAAAGAAATATATACTTACATATTATATATCCATCTCCTTTTATACTTTTTTTTTCTTCCTTTTTTTACAAAGGCCTGATGATCTTTTTACTTCCTCTATTTTTATTCTACAAAACATAAATTGACGGAAATAGCAAGCACAGACAGTTTTCAATCGGTAAAGTGTTAAAAAAGCGGAAGTTCTTTGTTAGTTATAGCTGTTAGATTAGTGCTGGCGCCAACTAGCGTTATCTCTTTCTCGGGGAGCAGACATGTGGGATAAATCCAATATTGGTGAACTGAGACCTCACATATGGCAGACCGCGCATTTTAAACTCTAGCCAGCAGATTTTTCTTTTGGCGCGAGTTCTAATATTTTGATTGCGTATGGAAAGATTGCGGACATATAGCATCATTGTGAACAGTGTTGAAATTATTAAAAGTATAGCTTAGCTAGTGCTTGTTTGGGTTATTCGTAAATTATTTCAACCCCAAAATTGCTACTAAAAAACGTAAAGTTGATTCAGAGTGGCGTGCATTTAATGATGAATGGACCTGGAAATATTTTTTTTTACAGTTTTAAAATATAAACCAGTGTGTCTCATCTGCGTTCATAACTAGCTGCAGTAATCTTCAGACAAGCAACTGAGAGAGGACATTGTGTCGAATGACTTCCATGGAAAACAGTGTTCTGCGGAGTGTTAGAAGATAAATATTAGAAGATACAGAGTGGCTTTCGGGCATTGCATTTTTCACAAATCTTTGTCATATGAGCAACTTGAATGTGAAGATGCAAAGGAAAAATAAATTTATCGATGATATCTGGGCCCATCTCAAAGCTTTTAAACTAAAACTTAATCTGTTTGCTGTGCAGCTAAGAAAGACTTGTTATATTTCCCGAGGTTAAATTCAATACCCTCAGTAAATGAAGAGAAGCTTAAGAATTATGAAGATGGCTTGCAAAAACTGCATTTCCCATTCGGATTTCACATTTCGAGATTTCAGTTCCAGTCAAAGAGAATTGGATATTTTTACCATGCTTCTCAACGTAAATTGTGAAGCAGTGAGGTCAAATTTTCAGCTTGAATTAATTGAGTTGCAATCTAACAATCACCTCAAGCAGTTGTTTCTAAATATGCCAAAGTAGAAGTTTTACAAATCATTATCGAAAGTAAGTGTCCCAAATTTAATATCCCATGCCCAGAAAATCAGTGCTATGTTTGCTTCATCTTATATGATACGGTGAGCAAGTAGCTTTCAACTATGAACCTTAGAAAGAATTATTTCAGAAGTAGACTGACAGATGAGCATTTAGCCTCGTTCCATAGAATCAGTACATCTCACTTCGAACCTCAATCTAAGGAACTTTTAAAAACGAAATCGCAATTTTATTCATCTCATTAACGTATTTAAATTATAATACCTGTATATTGTTTTTTAAATTTTAGAAAAATTCATCTTGGCCCGCCAAACTTTTTTTTTCCCGATTTTTGGCCCGCTACCGAAAATGTTTGCCCATCCCTGTTCTATACGTAACTGTAACCGTATCCGTCCCTTATATGTAACTTTAACCTTATGCACCTTCCACTAATTTTGAGGAACAGAAGGTACTAGAGATTTCTCGGCGTCCGTGGGAAAACTATATAAGACCAGAAGGAGCTTGCGTGACCTATCAGTAGTTGATTCAGAGTTGAATTCGGAGTACTGTGATGTCCGTGAGAGCTTCGTCTTTTTCATGCGCTTTGCATTGCATTGTGTTTAACGTTCTTAGTAGTTTGAAGTGTAAGTATTGACTGTACTCTGTGATACTGAGAGGAGCTGTACGATTGCTTTTGTGGATAGTTCTAGAGCTGTAAAGTGTTTATTTTGAGACAGTAAACTTCATCAAGCTTATCATCGGTTCTGTGTGCATTCAAACCATTACGAACCTGTACGCACGCAACAATATATATATATATATATATATAATTCCAAAACAAACAAAAAAATATAAATATGCTTAGTATTAATTATGAATATCGAAATTTTTGGTCTTCGAGAAACATTAGTTCTAAATTTCTTACTTTATGAAAGTGAAATTCTGATTGTAATTAGCCTCTTGTATTTTTCATTTTAATTCCCCCCCCCAAAATCAACTATTTACAATATATGAATCTAAATTGCGTCATTTCAAAATTAAAGCTCTTACAAAGCTCTTCAATGCAGATACATTTTATCCGATCACTGAATACGATTTGTACTGAGAAACCTTTTAACCCTTTCCGAGGCTATTACTAAACGCGCCGTCAATTTTCGGTATCCCCTTCACTCTTGCAACTTGCCACTACTGTTTTCTTCAAAAGTATATTTCTAGGTTTATCGGTGCTCATATGAAACGTTCTTCGAGAATAGGGTGTTGCGCCCATTTCATTAATGTTGGATTATTGAAAAATGTATACTAACTATCAATAATAATTAAAAAAAAAAGAGTGAATTCTCTCAAGTCTGCAAATGTCTTTTATGCATCTATCTATGTAGTAAAACTTTGCCAGGATATTACATTATTTGCATGTAGAGCAGACCTTGAGAACTATCATCCAACGTATCCCATCGAAAATTAAACCCCACGTGAAAGAATAATAGTATGGGATATCAATGCTGTACGTTTAGCCAGGAGCTCATTTTTCAAAGTGAAATGACAATTTTTATTTAATCATTTGTAATATTTTGCTGGCTGGTTGGAATATAATTCTAAGGGTACGTTTTGAAATAAAGTATAGGATATGTGTACAGTTTATTTTTATATTTTAAGTTCATTAGAATAGAGTTGGATTTCATTTACAAGAAATAAAATAAAAAAAAAAAATAAAAAAAAAAAAAAAAAATAAAAAAAAAAAAAAAACCCACCTTTAATACATTGCTGTAGTTTCTCCCGGAATATAATGTTTAGTTTACTCAAGGGCAGGGGCGTAGCAAGGGGGGGCATCTGTCCTCGGGCGCAGAATCCAAGGGATGTTACTGATCCAAGGGATGTTACTAATCCAAACTGATGTTACTACATTTTAGAATTAAATGTTTTCCATCCTTGGCAAGCAGTAGGGGGCGCGAAATCTTCAGTTGTCCCTGGGCGCTGAAAACCCTAGCTACGACTCTGCTCAAGGGCTAGGACAAATGCATGCTGAGAAAATGTTAATATGATCTAATAACTTTGGAAAATTCGTACGCCGCCTTGATTGTTAGTGGTTAGCGACGCTGGCTGCCGTATCGATGCGCCCTGGTTCGAATCCCGCCGAAGACATGTGTATTTCTAAGTGTGTAGTGCCTGCGCGACATAGGGGTGCTTAAAATACTGGCAGGTTGAAAGCCCACCAGAATTGATGTATAGCTGCACAGAGTTAGTCCTTTGGGATTGTACCTGTACGATTAGTTGTAAAATTCTGGTGACTTCCCTAATACCTCTACTACTAGCAGTTGGGTTTAGAGCGATTTAGATTTAGATCGATTCTGGTTTGCCATATTTTTAAGCGCTGTATTTTGAATTACAGTGTAATGTTAGTTATTTCCTATTCATATATTATTATATTCCTTTTCTGTTTTGCTTTTATAATCTTCACTGCAATTCT